CCAAGGCTCAAGGTATTGAAGTGGAGCAGGTGGCCGATTTTGCTCGAGTGGTCACATACTTCTCAGAGCCTTTTATGAGAAAACTGGTAATTTTTCATAGCTCTTTTGTTTTGCACTGGTTTCACATGTTTATTTTCAGTTAGTACCTCCAAACGATTCTAAGCACGTGACAGAGTTGTTGAAGCTTCACGAGGTGCTTCTCAAGAAATTGGGTGCAATGAGTTGCCAAATCGACCTTTTCGTCGAATTAGCAAAGCAAAAAGTACGTCGTCTTATCCTACTGCTGTATTCATTTCTGAGATTCATGTTTGCATCGTAGAGCTCTGTCGCATGTTTTTGTTGACAGACAGACTTTGCTTTACAGATCATAAAATCATAATTCTTTCTTTGTTTTGAAAGTAACCTGTAAATTTTATGACTTGCTCTTCTACGCGAAACTCTTATTCATACTATCTGCCAACATTAAAATTTGTTGTTTTATGCAATTCTCTTTATAGGAAAATCTCGACCATCTAGTTTCAGAAAAATTGCGCTTCAACGATATTTATGGAGATCAGGTGAACATTTTCAATAATTAGAGGGCTCCTAATTCTTTTGACAGCGTCAAACATTAGAAATTATTGACATAGCGGTAGTTATTTTTTGTTTTTTGCAAATCATTTTTCTAGATCTATAAAATGTTTCGTATTGCTCTATCATTTGTTTCCCATTTTTTAAATTTTAAAAGTTCCATTAGGTTGACTTTTCATTTTCTTTGCGGGAGATACAGATTCTCAATTTTTAGCTGAAAATTGCCGATCAAATAAGAGGGCGCATGGTGAGCGATAAAATACGACGTTCTATGGCACTGGGTTACGAAGAAGCGAAGTATGGGTACAACCCTTGTAAGTCTCGGCTTCTTGATAGTTTGTCGTTCGTGTTCCCGTCTCCTCATTTTCATTGTATCTAGATAGAATTTGCAAAACAATAACTGTGAAACGGTTTCCTCGATCTATAAATCCTGGAAACATCATGCAAATGTACTACTGCGAATTAACTGATCCAGTTGCTTACGAGGAGTCAATGATGCCATTAAGGAAAGCAACTGCGAAAAATAGACCACTGGTAAATACTTTTATGTGCCTTTTGTTTCGTTTGTTTCAATTTGTGGAGGAAAGCCGTTGTAGCTGAATGACACTGCATGGCGCGTAGCTGAGGTCTTCACCAAAGACAAAGCGTTCGAAAAAAAGTTGGAATCTCTACGGGAAAAGGCTCCTTTAAGTCCTCAAATACCGAGAAAGTATCCACTAGACAGGTAGGCTTACTTTCTCTCTCTCATTTTTTCGTGCCTAGCTCTGATCTTTTCTACTGTATTTTAAACATCATTCGACTACTTTTGTCTTTTTAAAGTGTTTATCTTTTTCATGTTTGTTTCATATCTCTTTTGTGTCCAAGGATTTATATAGCGTCGGGAAGTCTACTGACCTTTCCGCTTTGCGAAAAATCACAGTCGTTTTCAGTGATTTCTGCACCTTCTTAGTCATTCAAAAAACTA